CGTATAAAAATGAGACTCTTGAAACCAATTTCTTCTTAATTTGTATAAAAATGCATTTCCTTCCAATTTTTTTTGTGATAAACTAATATATAATTGACTAAATAAGCATCCTCCAAAGTTTCAATAAAAAATTTCAAATTTTTCTTACCATTTCCGTGGTTTTTATTCAATTTTTATCGATATTGATAATATCCCGATATTTCCATCGAAATTTCCGTATTTTTGGACTACCGATATCACCGATATTTTAGACCTTGGTCACAACAATCCCCTAAACACTAGAGGTTGCCCTTCCTCAGTTTTCGACCGATAACCCTTTACATTATTAGGCATGTGTGATATATTTTTATGTTTTTTTTACGATACCGACTTGTCACCGTTTGGTTAATAAGCTTAAGGAGAAATTCGTGAACAAATCAAGAAAGTACTAATATACCTTTCAAGATAAATGAAAGTACAGGGTGGGAAAAAGAAACAACATGTGAGTTGTCTAGGGGCTCATTTGAAACTGCTTCTCTAGGAAGTACTTCTGCTTATAAGTGCTTCTAACAAAAACACTTTTATTATAAAAATATTGAATTTTCATAAAAATTAAAATCCTTCGTGGAAAATTACTCGGGATTGCTTCTCCAGGAAGCGCTTCTATAACCCATGAGCACTTCTAAAGTTTTCAACCAAACGTTGTCAAAAATGTTTTTAATTATTAAAAAGCGCTTTTAGCCTAGAAGCACTCTCAAATAGGCCACAAGTTGTTTTCAATATGTCCTTTTTATAATAAATAAACAAAACAGAAACAAAATTACAAGTAGGATTCTTGACGAATTCCCAAATTCAGGGTATCAAACTTAACTTTACAAACTATCAAAAAAGGAAATTAGAAAACCAAATAACAGTATTTGAATGTGATTGCCCAAATGCATGCTTCATCTTCTCTCTCTCACAGTCTCACTTCTTCTTACAATTTCACATCACACATGGGTAGTAATTATGGCATGTGGATGGATGATGCTTCTAGGATCTATAAAACAATGCCGCATGAATAGCCGGCACAGGAAAGTGATTGGATGCCTTAATTTCAGTGACGACTCGTAAAGTGTTGTGTTGTAAATTACACGTAGTGCACACAAGGGAAGGCAACTGATTGATGGGGAAGTGGGACAAAATAAAACGCATCAGGATTCAGGCATCATGTTTCACGCAAGGCTTTATGCCCCGTATATTCCTTTTTTATTTATTTCTTTTCCTTTTATTTTTCCAATATGACATCTTATATTTTGCTTGACAATTACACATTCCGGATTTTAGCCTCTGGCCCCCACACATACAAATTCTGTGTGTTCAGATGAAGTGAACCAAACCTGTATTCAACTGGTGCATACATGCATGGGCTCATTAAGGGTTAAGGTTGCAGAGCCTCCTCCAACTGTCCCAAGTGCGCAAACATCATACCTGCCCTTCAATCGTCAACACACTTCCAACCACATTGTTAGGAGCACGTGAGTGTCGGCTTTGGCTTTTTAACCAATCAACACACTACTATTACAATCACTTACTCTAACTGTTAATTTTTCGGTGAAATTGTATCACGATAGCGTAGTTTGTAACTCACGAGTAATATTTTTCGGTGAAGCTGTATCATGATTGTGTAGTTTGTAATTCACAAGTACTTTTTCGATGAAATCATATTATTGTCGCGTACATCATAACTTACGAATAATTTTTCAGTGAAATCTTTGTTACGATTGCATAGAAATTATACACTAAAATATCTATTATATCATCATATATATTATAATACGTTAATTAATAACACCGTATAAAAATGTTCCTGTATTATATAGTAATTTATCATAACTCGCAAGCAGTGGCAAAGCCACTAAGGGACCAGTGTGGTCCCAGGCCCCCACTCCTTTTTTTTTTCTTTTCAATTTCGTATATATACTATATACGATATGTGATATTGTAATATATTAGACTAGGTTTAGGATATTTATTCTAAAATAAACAATATATTAGGTTCTTATTGTCTACAAATTAACCATTTCTTGATCTCTCATCTACTTATCTCCCTTAAATTTTTAAGGTTAGTTTATGATATTTACACTAAAAACTCCTAAATTTATAACATTTATTTCTTTTTATCTTTTGTTTAACTTAAGCTTTGTGAATTTTTTACTTCCGTCCTTTTTTCACGTATGAGTGCATTGAGTTGGATACCTTAGTAGTGTTGGGATTTATGAACCTTTTTTTTATATTCTTCTTTATGTTGGAATATAAATTTTTAAGTAGGGTAGACGAATTTAAAATATGAAATTTATGTTTCTAAAAATAAATAAATAAAATCATTACAATTATGATTGTAACGAATGTGTATATTATTAATTTATATCAAATGATACTATGAAGTGGGCCAAAATAAGTGGTTAGTGTCAAATTAACTTATTAACCGATTAGCGCTTTAACGCTCTTATTCGAATTTGAAGACCCCTTTTAGTATGAAATCCTGGCTCCGCGCAAGTTTATGTGATTGGTTCCAAACTTCTAAGTCTGAAACTGCGGTGCCCAACAGAAGAGAAAGGAAGAGGCTGATAATATTGTTTAAAGGAGAAACGTGCCAACTTGCGGATGCTAAATAAAGTCTGCATGCAGGCTTAAAAAAGTGAGCTTGCAGTTTGCAGTGGCTTTTGGTCCTCTGTTGTGTAACAAAGTATGCTGCTTATACAAGCTGCCTTGGCTGCCCCGCCCACTGGTTGGATACAACTGCTGCTTTGGGCAACCCCTCACCATTTGCAGCAGTTACGGCTTATCTATTAAAGTTGCAACTTGCCATGTGCAACGCGTCGTCTATTTTTATTCCTTGTTTCAGGGAAGCAAAAATATCTCATTTGATATTTTTTTTCGCTTGGGTTTGGAAGTTTGAGCTTAGAAAATTATTTATTATCTAGAATGAGGTCATTCGAAAAAGCTATCGAGGTGTATCGAATAATCAAGTGACATGCTGACGTGGTAAATTCAACTCAAATTATATTATGTGTGTATAATTTTAGATATATCGTCATCTATTGTTTAAAATTAGTATAAATAACATCAAAAAAATCTCTTTTCTTTTAAAAGATACGATCAACAATGTGATCCGTAAACATGAAACTTGCAATTTTTTTATTCCTCGGAGCCAATAAAGAAGAATTTAGAAGACAACAGTTGAAATGAAGCCATCACCTCGCATTACTATATGATATGAAGGGTTTGTACAGATTCTGCTGGTAGATATAGCTGGGGTGGTTGGATTTAGTACTTTTACGCAATGTTGGTGTGCGATATAACTAGTCTTTCAAGTACATCTTTCTGCTGTTGTTTTAAAAGCACATTTAAAACGTGGGTTTAACTAATCTAGTCCATAATGACATTCCATTGAATAAAAAATGAGGAGAAGGGTTGATCCAACAGTGGCGAGAAAGATAGATGCAAACAAATTCTGTCGGTTCTTATTTTTTTTAACACCCAATGGAAATAGATAGAGCAGTTAGTTTCGGAATAAATAATATTAATATAGGCCCATATTGCGAGAGCTGGTCACACATGTCTTGCATATTAATTATTATTATTTTATTGAAGTGTGTTCCTTGTTTATTTTGTAGTGAAGAAAATGAGGCAGGGCTTTCGAAATTTCAGGTCGTTGCTAAGTGCACATGAGACATGCCTTCAATGTTGCTGTTGTAGTTGCTTTCCTTCTTGTTCTTGTTTCTTTTTCCTTTTTTTTTTGGGTGTGTTCTTGAGGAAAAGGGATTGAAAGCTACATTGCATTCCACATCCGAATGAAAGTGAATCAAATAAAACAGGTTATAAATTCGTTAAATGCATTTCTTTTTCTTGAAGTAACAACAAGATGCCCCTACCTTATTCAACAAGGAGAGGGAGAGGGAGAGGGAGAGGGAGAGGGAGAGGGAAAGGGATAGGGATGGGGAAACTATTTGTGCTTTCTCATATAACCGCTCATAAAATATTTCTTAATGAACTTGGTTTGTGAGGCTAATGCTTATCCCTAACAAAGTGGATAGGGTTTCAAAATAAGTCATTAAGTTTACCATGCATGTACTAAAGAACGACAAAGAAATTCCCTTTTCCTGTATGAGAAACGTCTTGATTTATTTCTATTATGTACTGTATGAGGATTGTAATTCGTGATCAAAGAATTCCCTTTTGTCCTTGATGCAAATTGAGATTTGTTGCACTACTTGCTTTACACCAATAATATTATATTGTTTATTATCAAAAAAGAACAAGAAGGAAAAACAAAAGCTTATGCATGTATGATGTACTTTACCACTAATCAATCATTGTAATTTGATCTTAATTAAGGGTAATTAAGTGCATGTTATAGTTTCTGATTTGGTAATAATTTTTGGGGATGCGAGTTTATTGACAACCAATCAATCACTGCCACACTCTAATTTGATGTAATTAATTAAGAGTAGCATTCCCTTTTCTCCTCATCTACTTTATGTCTCCAATCTGGCCAATGGCCATTACTTTCCAATAATATAAATACAAAACAATATAGAATTATACCATCATTGAAAGGATAACGATCCCTAACAACTACCCCCAAAACCTATCTGAATGGGTGCTGCCCTAGTGACCAAACTTCTGCGATCAGATTTACTGCCCAAGTAATTGCATTTCGCCCAAGTGATCAAATTTACTGCCCAGGTGATCAAATTTACCTGCCCAAGTGATCAAATTTACCTGCCCAAGTAAGAAATTGTGTACGGTGGTAATTAGGTCATTACACACGCAAACTATGACATCCGAGCCGCGTGGGGCGAGTAAAAATCTTTCCGTATCATTATCAACCACGTTTGAATAGGAAACCAGTCCTTGTGCAATATAAAATATCGTTTGCCTATCACGTGCTTTAAAGATATCAATAAACTTATTAGCCCCCACTCCACCAAATATTTCAACCAAAATTAAAATATTAAAAATCTAAAGCTTCCCAATTCATTGAGAGAGGCTATATATACAGAGGCTGCTGCTTGAGAGTTGCTGAACTTTTTCATGCTCTCTCTCTTCTTTCTTCCTCCCAAAGCAAACCAAAAACCCTCACAATTCAGAGTCTGAAAATCGCTCCCAAAACCCACGCACAGAGAAATCCCTTCTTTGATTCTGCCCAAGGTTTCAAGTTTCAAACCATGGAGTGGGTTCGGGGAAAGGAAATCGGTCGGGGAAGCTTTGCCACCATCTACACCGCAAAGCCCAAAAACCCATCTTCTCAACTTCCGCCATTGATGGCCGTCAAGTCTGCTGAATCCTACTACTCTGCTTCGGTCGAGAACGAGAAGCTTATCCTGGACCAAATTGGGTCTTGCCCACAAATTATCCCCTGCTTCGGAGATGATCGGACCGTCGAGGACGGCGAGGAGTTTTACAATTTGATGATGGAGTATGCGACCGGAGGTACTTTGGCCGACGAGCTCAAGAGAAACGGCGGTCGTTTGGCCGAAGCCGATGTTCGACGACACACAAATTCGGTGCTTAAAGGCCTCGGCTTCGTCCACGCAAAAGGGTTTGTCCACTGCGACGTGAAGCTTCAGAACGTTCTTGTTTTCGACAATGGAGTGGCCAAGATCGCCGACTTTGGGCTCGCGAAGAAAGCAGGGGAAGCAGCGCAGAAAGCCGAAGTCAGAGGTACTCCTCTGTATATGGCGCCTGAATCTGTTAACGACAACGAGTACGAGTCGTCTGCTGACGTTTGGGCTGTTGGGTGTTTGGTTGCGGAGATGGTGAGTGGAAAACCAGTCTGGGATCACAGCCCCGGCGCGAATATTTTCAAACTCCTGATGAGAATCGGAGGAGATGAGTTGCCGCAAATTCCAGAGGACTTGTGCGAAGAAGGAAAAGATTTTCTGGAAAAGTGTTTTGTCAAGGACCCGAGAAAGCGCTGGACGGCTGAGATGCTTCTGAGCCATCCTTTTGTTTCTGATTACGACGCCGTTTTGTTGGAAGACACCAAGCCATCACCATCTCCGAGAGGCCCGTTTGATTTCCCAGATTGGGTTTCGATGGCAAGTTCAGAAATTTCATCAGACTTGGGCCATTTTTTCCAAAAGAATGATTTGAATTCCGGGTTTGATTGGTCGTCGAGACAGAGTTCTATTCCGGCGGAGGATCGGTTGCGGCAGCTAGCCACGGAGGAGACACCCAATTGGTCTTTCTCCGGAGATTGGGTCACAGTCCTGTGATTCAATAATTTTGGGTAGTTTTCTGAGACAGAGTAGGAGATGGGTAGAAAAAAAGAAACCGAGGAAAGGAAAGAGTCGAAGGTTCTGAGATTCAATTATTTGTTGATTATTTTTTGTGACGGTAAATATGGAGTAGGACAGTAACAGATGATTTTAACAGTCTGGTCTTACTTTGGTAGATGAAATGGTCTTGATTGGCGCCACGAATGGGTGACCAAGTGTACAGACAATTTTGGATTGACTTGAGAAATATAATAGTTGAGATTATTTTCCAAGAAAATTTGCAGATTTCCCATGAAAGTGTTTGTGAGGCTTTGAGCTCTTTCTTCTTGACTTTGAAAATTCAAGGATGGAGTTCAACTTATTTTTCTAGTAGCCACATTGACACCGTGTGCTAATACTAATTCTGCTAACACACACATGAATTGACCTAAATTGGGTCAAGAGGCAACTTGTAATAAACTCAAAACCCACGTTTCATCTTTGCAAGTTCACATGATATGTGGACTTCGTTCTTATCCTCCTCCCTTGCACGGCTAGTTTGATCCGAATATTTACAAGCATATTTTTGGGTTGTTGGGTTTTTTTTATATTAAATCAAGACGTATAGTTTAGCGTCCGAATTTCAACCACAATGATTCATACGACTTGAATATAAACAAATATAAATTAGAGACTATACATGCTGTATTTTTGTTGTGCAAGTAAGAAATTGTTTGACGTATGCCGACAAATTGATTAGTTGCATGATAAAGTAAATCTTGATAATTAGTATTAGATGCGTGTTAATGATTTTTGGACCACAAGCAATGAACACAACAACACACATGATTCTTCTTTATGGAATTATACACATGATTGGTTGTTCATACAAAAATGTTTTAAATGCGATTCTTGTGTGGTATATGATAATGCCATAAAGTTCTAGTTGATTGTGGATGTGGTGGAGAACTTGAGAACACTATTGAATGGTTCAAATGATCACCAACTAGGTTGTAACTCAAGAAAATAAAAAGGGAAATCAAAGTTGTTGGATGAAAAAGGTTCATGCTTGTGCCAATAATCTTTTTTTTATTTTAATACATAAACATGTGTTAGATATGTGGACCTTATCCTTAATTTTACTATTGTATTTATAAATTTATTATTATTAAATACGTTAGAACAATTTTGACTCTTCAGAATCATTATTTTGTCTTTTTCTTAAAACGATAATAAACTTTAATTCCCATTGGTTGTCTGGGCTTTAGATTAACAATAGAAAATGAGTTTCCGTTGCCTTTTGGGATAAAATTGGGCCTTACCTTATCTAGGCAATGGTTAGGGCCGAAAGATTTCGAGGACATCATCAAATTTGCCACTCTTCGAGCATTAAAAAATAAAAAAAGATTTTTAGGTGTAATGGTCTCTAAACTTTATTCTTGCATTTAATAGAAAATGTTAAAAAACTGACGGCACGACTATTTGTCTTAACGAAACTAAAGTTGGAAGACCACATAAACAATTTTGGAAATTAAGGAACCAAAATGCGAATCGGATCAAAATTCATGAACTATTAAACCTAAAAACCCTTATTTGGTAAGGCTATTTTTCACTCTAGCTTTTGATTATTGAGAATAACCATTTGAATTGTTACATCCAAAAGTTATATGGAAATCGTTCTTCACTACAACTTGGGTCATGCAACAGTTCAAAGTTATCCCACCTATCTTGGTTTTTCTTTTTTCTTTTTTAATTTTATTTTCTTGTTAATTTATACACTACTGGACACGAGAGTTTAAAAGGTTGGCCAATCATAATTTTTTCTACCATTACAAAATCCAAACACCAAAACAAAATTTAATTAATTAAGAAAAGACAGTGCACAACTTCATATTTGTGATCAAGAAAAAGGCAATTAATAAATAAATCAATTCAATTCACTGGTAACTGCATTTGTTCTTCAAAGCAATGGCCACATTCATCTTTTTAGGATCCATAACCACAGAGCAATCCACCTTTCTGTGGAACTTGGGCTTGACCAGCTTGCCCAAAACATGAGCTCTTGACCTAACCAGGAACCTGAGTGTCAATGGCACTGCCTGAGTGGGTGCACCATTTGAGCTTCCCAAGTTTGCTCCTCCACCATAGACTGGAATTCTGTTTCCTATCAACGTTATTGTAATGGATCTCTGGCTCTTTCTCGATTGATAAAATCCCTTCATCTGCAAAACCCAAATAAACCAAATTACCAAAAAAAATAAAAAAGATTATATAATTAATGGGAAAATGGTTAGGATTTCATACAGTTCCAGTGGCTACAGTGAGCTGAGAATATGAGAGATCTAGAGGTGTTGGTTTCACATGGACACCAAAGAATGTGGCAGTGTTACGAAAGGTGAACTTCAGAGTGGAATTCATGGACAACATGTTGGTGGCCACTCCTGAGAAATCCTCTCCAGCTTGAACCACAAATTGATCAAATGCAATGCTCTGCATGTAACATGTTTTATATAAATACAATCAAAATTCAAGAAACACCCACCTCACAAAATTGCCATTTCAATCCAATTTTTTAAAAAGAAATAATGGTATGCGAAAAAAATGTGATCGATTGCTAAAAGGAAGGTGATTGGCTCGTATCGAGCATACCAATCTACGATATCTAGTACTGTTGACCAAATATCAACTAAGTACATACTTTAGAGTCCGATTCAATGAGATGATTGGCCAAATATCAAATAATCGATCAAATATTGACTAAGTATCAAGTATTGTAAATTGATATTGATATAGAAAATTATTTATGATAATAAAATAATAATAAAAATTACCTTCATAGTGACAATGGGCTTTTGGGGCCTACTAGCACCCCACAGAATCAAAGAAAACAGAGAGAAAAGCCCAAGGAAGCCCACAATAAAAGCAAAGAAGTAACACCTACGAGTGAGACCATGCTTGGTGCCATCATCATTAAGAAGGCCTTCTTCTTCAATGGAACCAAACTGATCCTTCCACGGTCTCCACCCCTTGCGGTGGGACCCACCGCCGTGGTGGTTCTTACTGCGGGATCCCGAGAAGCGGGTGGAGGCGGACTCGCGAGAGTGAGGCCCAAGAGAAGAGTTGGAGTGAGAGTGAGGAGGGGAGCCCATAGGGCTGAGGACTGGGCTGGAGTTGAAGGAGTTGGTAGTCTTTTCGCCATCGTGCGAGTCGCGGGATGGGCTCTGGACATAGTAGGCCGCCCGGCGGGGCGAGCGCGCCGATGAGGACTGGCTGAGGCTGCTCACCTCGGAGTCAGTTTTGGCCAGCACTGACATTGTTCTAGTTTAAGTTCTTTTCTCAAGGCTCAAGCCAACTCAGAACTTTTTCTCTTCTTGTTGTTTGTTTGTTTGCAGAGAAAAAAACAAAGAGAAGTTTAGTAGGAGTGAAGAGGAAGTGTGTGTTTGGATATTATATATAAATCTGCTGCTGCTGCTGTTAGAATCTCTGGAACGTACGTTGTAAGGTGCTGCACGTTGTGTTGTGTTTTGTTTATTGTTTTCAAAGTGATGGTAATTAATATGGGGGAGAGGAGTTGACAGTGTGCACTGACACCTGCTAATTTTTCGAGCATTAAAGTACGAATATTATGGGGTTTATTTTAAGCCTTTACCTACCTCTTTGTTGCAGAATTAATTGCATCGATCGGCTTGTTTATGGATCCTAATCAAAGATAGGGTTAACTAAAGGAGGTTTTATATAAATTTATCCCTGGCCAGTGGTCTTAAGTTTGGTTTAAATTTGGTTTCCTTCTTTCTAATATCTCTTGTATTTTAAAAAAAAATTTGACTTGCTTAGTTAGAATCCATAGGTTTATATTGTAATTGTGGTTTATTTTAAGCCCTTACCTACGTCTTCGTTGCACAGAATTAATTGGATCAACTTGTTATGGATCCAAATGAAAGATATAGCTTTTACAGAATTTTGTGAAGTTTTTTATTTTTAATTTAAAGGATTGACTTGCTTAAAATCCATAGCTTTATACATTGAAACTGATAGAGCATGCAGAGATTTATTTATTTGTTTCATGGGGATGCATAGTACATATATATATGCTGCTCTTCATTACGGAATATCAGATCTGCAAGTGCACCTTTTCTTTTCTTTTCTTTCTGCTTTGTGTGGTTTTTGGCCTTTTGCTTAGTAATGATACAAGACTAAATTGAAGTGTTCTAGTAGGGAGTGCCTAGAAAATTAGGAATGTCGGTGAAGGCTATTTGCTTAAGCAAAGTGTGTGTAAATTGTGTTAATTGCTTGGGCCTGAAAATCTGATACATGAGTGCTTCAAGACACTCATTTTATGGGGGCTTAAAGGCTTTAAGAGTACTCTTTATGAGCCTTGAAGCATCCATCTACTTCCTAAATTGGGCCAAAATAGTGGGAAAAAAGTCATAAACATGTTAAAACAATGCGGTTTCAGTTACGGGTTCTGCAAGACTCAAAACAAAGTAACACACTAACACGTAGTTATTGCTAGAGATCTCTTATCATTTTATGTCCACGTAACAATTTGACATATCAATTGGAGATTCTCTTAACTCTATTTAATTTGTTGATTTAAAGTTCTTTCCCACTTGAGTTGTTCTCTGTTGGTCACACGATCATTTTAATGAATATCAATAGTACATGGATTTCATTTAATTTACTCATATTTCGTTTTACACTTTCTACTCAAACCTATCTCTCAAACCGAGTAGTTGCGCAATCGCGATCACAATGTAAATGGTAAAGATAACAGAGCCACCGAAAGGAGAAGAATAAAATGCCTAAATTGAACAGAGTGTTGAAAAAAGTAGTGTTTGTTGACTTTTTTATCTTTATTTTGATCATATTATTTTATGCCCCTTCTTCTCACAGCACTTCTACAAGACTAACCACATATTTAATAATAGATTGCAGGTGAGTTTCTATAGAAATGGAGGCATATGCAATGAGGGTCTTTATAATAGAGAATTTGGCACGAAGTTAGTGGCCACTATGGGACTCCTCACTACATATTTTCCACCATCATCAACCCAACTAAGGGAGCCTTGGACCACAACTTCTTTCAGCAATTTTGGACCTTCCAAAGTGAGCTTGTAACTTAGCTTTTCATACTTGTTCTTGAACACCAACCTCTCTGGCTCCACCTTCACCTTCAAACCCGCCATTGCTGTCAACTTTGCAGTATAGCCAGACCTTTGCTCTCCCACATTTGTTACTGTCCTCTTAAATTCTTGTACAACTTTTGCACTAGACTTTGAGCCTTTGCTGTTAAAGTAAGCAATGAAAGATGGATAATTCAGATTGATAGACCGGTTGACACAGCTGTGAGTGGATCCTGTGATAACTTGTATCTGTTTTGCTGTGTAATTCATTGCACAGAGAAGCTTTATGTAGTCCTCTGCTGTTGTGTCGTAGACTAGTCCCGGTTCGAGTGCTCTGTTGGGATTAATGTGGCCTGCTCCAATGTCCAGGGGGGTTGCTGGGTGGTTAGTACTAACATCTATGATGGGTTTCTGTGTATTGTCTAATGGATTAGCTGTGGTCATAAGGGCTGATCTAATTGCGGCAGGGCTCCAATCACGGTGTACTTCTTTGATGAGAGCAGCCACACCTGCCACATGAGGAGCTGCCATTGAAGTGCCTGACTCAATGTTAAATTTACTGAACAAAGAGCCTGACTGAACTTCAAATACTGAACTATTTGGAGACCATGATGCCAGGACAAATGAACCAGGGGCTAGAATGTCCGGTTTCAAGACACTTGGGCAGCTTGGAGACGGCCCTCTAGAGCTATAATCATCAACCTTTGGTGCTGGCTTTGTTCCAAGGACTGTCTTTTTAAATTCCAAGTTTGCTGTGGGCTTGCTGCTCTTCTTGATATATTTTATGACATTTTGGCCATCTTGCAGACCAATAAATGCTGCTGGAAATGAGCTTTCAGTGTAGAAATCTGAGAGGGAAATATTGGTGATGAAGACAGCTCCTGAAACTATTGCAGACTTAGCATTATCAACTTGATCGCTTATGCTCAAATTGTCCTTGCACACAACAATCTTGTTTTTGAGTTTTTTCAATTCCTTCACACTTCCACAGCCATCCATGAAAACAAGTGGCAATTGGCTTCTAGAGGAGTTCCCTGGATACAAGGTTGTAAAGGTGATTTGCATACCATTTCCGAGGGTTAAAATTCCCCGAAATTCACGGTCTATAGTTCCTGCACCAACAATCACTGCCCATGGTGCTCCATTGAGTAAGGTCCCCCAGCCAGAGCC